CTCAATGACAGTCTACACAGGGATCTATATTATATCCTGAAAAGGTTAGACAACCTCCTGTTATGTCAAGTCTGAACACCATCAGTAAGAAAGCAAAAGTGATTTTCCTGTCTAAAAAAAATCCAGGGACGCTTAATCAACTAGGTAAAATTAGAGGCTTTAAAATCTGTCATTTAAATATGAGAAGTCTTGTACCTAAACTGGATGAATTCAAAGTAATACTTGCTCAGACACAAGCACATGTTATGGYTATATCAGAATCATGGCTGAATCCTGTTGTACCAAAGTCGTTTCTTTCAGTTGAAAATGATTCATTGTATCGTAGAGACCATACTGATAGGCTTGGAGGTGGTGTTGCAGTTGCAAAAAAAGCTAAATGTAGCAAAAAGGTTAGCTAAAAGTAAAAAAAAAGCTATATAAAAGGAAACTAAAGGTCAGCTATAGGCTAAAAGTAGCAAGAAGATCTCAAATAGTTAGCTCAAATCTGATAGTCACAAATAGTTAGCAAAAAGTAGCAAAAGGTTAGCTATAAGCTAATAGTAGGAAAAAGGCTAGGTAGAACTGTCAACATGTTAGCTTAAAGCTGAAAGTAGCTAAAAGAGCAGTGCTACCTAAAATTGGCTAAATGACTAGCTAGAAGCTAAATGTAGCACAGGAAGACAAAAACAGAGCCAGTAGCTGAAGCAGATTTGAAAAAGAAGTGCTTTTCTCTGTGCGTTTTTGTGGGGAAAATATTTGTAAATGAAGTGTAATATTTAAAAAAAATCACAGAAGTGTTAAAAACAAAAGTGACAACACCTGTCTCCAGCATGATCTAAACGTTTTGACATATAAATGATTAAAACAGCACAAATAAAAAAGAAGTTATGCTGACTCAGCATTCACAAATATTAAAAGTCCTGTCAGAGTCAAAGAGACGGATCGCTGCTGACGGTCTCTACAAAGATTCTGGACCTACCGATGAAGAGCAGGGTGAAGATGATGATCAGCTGGTACACCCCGTGGCCCAAGATGTTCTTCATCATGGTGAGGGAGATGAGTGGGTTGTTGCGACCGTAGGGCTTTCTGAGCAGGAGGGCTTCGGTGGGGGGCTCGGTGGCCAGGGCGAGCGAAGCGAACGTGTCCATGATCAGGTTCACCCAAAGCATCTGGACCGCCTTCAGGGGAGAATCCTGCAGAGACATCACCCACCACAGCCTGGTCAGAAACCCTGCCTGTCACATTGAGTCAATCTATTTCTGTGTTTGAGCTTCACTCCATGCAGTTTCTGTTCACCGGCTCTCTTTTAACCGCAGAGTTTTGCAAAATCKACTCCTTTTCACACATATTTCTGCAGCTTGACGTGTGCTCATCTAAAATCATGTAAATCTCTGGAAGTGTCAGGACACTGCTGCTTACATAAGCTTGTTCTAGAAATGCAATAAAAGCATTTTAACAGCTCCTTTGTCGTGGCCGATGCCAAGTGAGTGATGCTTCCAGAAAGTGACATTTGTGTGTCTCCGCYACGCTTATGTGCGCAGGAACGCACACGTGTCAGCATGCATGTGCGTTTGTCTACCTGAGTGATGCAGGCTCCGGTGAAGGCCACRATGACGGCCACTACGTTGACCGTGAGCTGGAACTGCAGGAACTTAGAGATGCTATCGTAGACGTTTCGCCCCCACATCACCGCCTTGACRATGCTGCTGAAGTTGTCATCAGTCAGGATGATGTCCGACGCCTCTTTGGCCACGTCTGTCCCCGCRATGCCCTGGCAGAGATTGAGACGGAGCGGAGAGGGTTGACGAATCGCGACGTGATTCATGCGAGCATTCGAGCGTCCAAATGACTCGGGAGGGCGACTGGCTCGGTGTCGCGCCGCTCTGCCTCGGAGGGCTACAACTTGGTGAGAGCGAGAGCAAAATTTAAGCTGTTCAAAACACTTTTGTTTACAGATAAATCTGACATTTTTCATGGGCGTTTGTTCCAATTCCAAGAAAGTTGTGTAAACCGTAAACAGGATGCAATGATTTGCAAATTACGTGGAACTTCATAAATTTTAGAAAGGCACAGATTCTGGTTTTAGGACCGATTTCACAGATTTCTGGTTATTGAATAGCTACAGGTCCTGATTTTCTTTCAATGAATTAACCCACACAAAGTCGTCCGTATTCAAGATTATCTGCTGTYTTAAAATKAATACATCYTGAAAGCAATCTAATCCAGGGGTCCCCAAACAGCATTAGATCTCACCCGAGAGTCGGGGACTCCCTTTGAAACCCACAAACAATGCTACAAAATATGTCAAGAAAAATAGCATTAATTTTTTTCACTTTTATTCACTATTCAATAATTATTTCATTTGTTTTGTGTAGGGATTTTATTAAATAACGTTATTCCCACTGAAAATAATTTTTCAACAATTTGTTGCTGACAAGAACAGAACAAAAAAAACAGATAAGATAAGATAAGATAAGATAAGATAAACCATTATTGTCATTGTTCAAAGCACAGTTCAGAACAACCATTCATAAAGCTCTCTTAAATAAAATTTCAGTATATTATTACAACTATATTTAACAATGATTGAAAAACAGATTCAATTCTATGAACACAATTTAAACCATTTATTTTATAGACGAAAGAATATTAGTTTGCTTTTGTTTATATTTTGTTTTTGTTGCAGATGCGTATTTTCTTATCTTCCCTCCAGCTTTTTTTTTTTTTTTTTGTTTATATTTTGTTTTTGTTGCAGATGCGTATTTTCTTATCTTCCCTCCAGCTTTCTAAGGCCCCCTTTATGGCGCCCATTTTGAAAATGACTGATCTAATCTATATACTGACAACATGCATTGTTGTCGAGATTAAAAGAAAGAAAATCAGTACGGTATAATTTTTTTTTAAATATCGATGTTTCGATTTTTATGCACAGCCCTACTCAGAACAGTTCTCTGCTTCAGTGTTCTATGGTTTGTCCGTTTCAAAATAAAATCACATAAAGAAAACAACTGTGCTGTTTTTCTGTTTTCCCATTTTTAAAACCTAAATGGAAACATGGAAAATCAGACTAATTAAAATCAATGTTTGATTTTTGCTTCAGTTATTATCCAGTGGTGGGAAGCACTAATCTAAAAATTAGTTCCACTAGCCCTAAAACACTAACTCAAATATTTAGGTCCCCTAATTCTAAAGCACTAACTCAAATATTTAGGTCCCCTAATTCTAAAGCACTAACTCAAATATTTAGGTCCCCTAATTCTAAAGCACTAAAATAACCCAGTCAACCCATGAAAATTCTTCAACAAACATGTCACATATTGACATGTTGCTCTCTTAAGAYTTATCATTGACATTCCACAGCTGTATTTCAGTTCATATATTGTCAATATTGTCACCTAGTGGATAAGTGACAAATATATGAACAAAAAGTGTGACAGCTTTCACCTTCAGTTAACAATAAAGTTGATCAATTATATTTACAGACCTCAGTTAGTGGTTCTAAATTTGGTCTATAAATTTAGCAAGTGCTAATCCACTAATAAATTCTAAAATTAGAAAAAGCCCCAAAGCACTAATCAGGAAATTAGTTCTCCTATTAGTGCTTTAGTGCTTTAGKGGAACTGTGCCCACCACTGTCTAAATCCAAAATAAAATATACGGTTGTTTTAATTTGTGGCGATACTGGAGATGAAGAAAGTTTTTAGTAAGTGGYTGGAAGACTGCTTAAAAACAGCAATTATTCCTAAAGATATTGGCAATGGCAGCACTCGAATCCAGTTCTGCAGAACTTATATTAAAGCAGTTTTCTTCACGGTAAGATCATCGGCTCTCAATGCGGTTTTGACTCCCTCTAAATAAGACAAACATGTCCACGGTGAGACGTGAAAACGTAATGCACCAGGAGTTCAGGACAGGATTTCCGGTTCCACCAGAAAGTAACAAACGGTACACTAACAAAGTATAATGATTGTCATTGCTTCAACCATTAAAATAAAAAGAAAACAAAACAGCATTTTTTAATGTTGCAACTGTCATTTTTCTAATTAGTTTTCACACAAAAATTTAGAAAAAGCCACATGTACTGTAGCTCCAGAGCCATGACTCGCCTGTCTCACATTTTTTTATGCATCTGCCAAAACCACAAGACAAACGCAACCCGAGGAGGACTTCAAAAACCACACAAACATTAAAGGTGAATAATATATCAGGTTACCATGGCAAAGCCCACATCAGCCTTCTTCAAAGCTGGTCCGTCATTAGTCCCGTCTCCCGTTACTGCGACAACCTGCCTCTGCTCCACGATGCTGCTGTCAATGATGCCTGGACACATGCAGGAAGAGAAAAACAGGCTCACGCTGTGCACGTGGAGACGTTTAGGTGTTTTAGTTATCACCGGTGAGCCCTCACCTTTGACCAGCGTGTGCTTGTCGGTCGGCGAGGATCGAGCCAGCACGCGCAGCTTGGGCCAGATTTTATCGATGCGTTCCTGCTCGATCTGCACGTGAGGAAGAGAAGCACGACAAGGGTCATCGTCAGCATCATTTCACTAGATGCCACTGCAAACCCTGAGCTCGTTACAAAAATGTGACGGAGSAAAATGGATGGAGGAGCGACAGTCAAACGGACTCGCTGCCGTTCAGTGAGCCACACAGAGCAGCTGCAGAATCACCATTTACACACAGCATTTAGATTTAGAAAAGCAAAGACACTAATTGGCTGGATGAGCTGAATTGTTGCTTTTTGTTTTTTACTATAGATCACGTGTCAAACTCAAGGTCCGTGGGCCTGATGTGGCTCACCATAGCATTTTATGTGGCCCACGAGGGCGTCAAAGATGTATTAAAGGGGCAGTATCATGTAAAATCAACTTTTAYGAGTTTTATATCATGTTATAATTTTATCCTCTCATCAAAAACATGCCCAGAGTCTTGCTTCGACTCTTTCATGTATGTTTGAGAAATCCTGTAGTGTCCTGAGGCAGCAGACTGGGGAGCAAAAACAACCAGTTGGGACTAGAACCACCTTTAGGGATCAGCTCCTCCTCTGGGCTGTGTCTCCAAGCTGAGCTTCCTCATCACAGAACCAGAAGGAGGTTCTTAAAGAGACAGAGGCCAATTTCAAGGTGTTATATGATGATAAGTCAAGTTTAATTTCTATTTAAACRTATAAACAGCATTTTAAAGTGCCTGTGACGTCAAATTTTTGTAATATAWRTGAYAGCATTTTTAGAAAGAGGACATCGCTAAAATATGGCAAAAAAAATTTCATGTCGCTGAGATGAACAGTTGTTGAGATATTTGCCTGTGAAGTAACAGGAAGTGATGTCAAAGGWKAATGTCTGCATGTGAACAGAGCGTTGYTACAACAGCCAACAGCYCAGACTGTAGARAAGAATCTGATGTTTCTTAAGATTATTTTGAGTCACTATCAGAGAGGTGAAGAGACAGAGTTTAAATAATATTGTTTCAATTAACAAAGACCAGAGAGTTTTCTTTGTTAGAGAGTTCCCCTTTGATGTCACTTCCTGTTTCACTTTGGCTGAGTCAAGTTCAAAAGAAAATATAACAGTTATGGGACAAAATGGGTTAAATTGTGTGTTATTCCAACTTTCTTAAATATAAAGATGTTTTTTTTACTTTTTGTATTTGAAGAATATGCATGTCACAGGCACTTTAATAACAATTGAATGTGACATAGTTACTTTATTGAGGTAAAGAATTTAAATATATGCCTGWGAAACACATAATGTTGCCCCTTTAATGTTTTAAAATAAGCTGCTTTAAACCATAAACTGGCATCCGCCAACTCAGTGGAGCTGCACCGGGTTCAAAAGTAGCCATCAGCCAGCAAAATTCATGTTAAAACTTCTACTTCGATGCATTTTCACCAGGTACTTTTGCTTCGGCCCAGTTAAGTAGGAATTTCCTACTTACAAGTCAGAAATTTAAACTGGAAGTGGGAATKTCCTGTYSGAAAGTGGGAGAATTCAGAATTCAAGATGGCAGCTAMTTACCACTTCTCAACAGTGAGTAAAACTCTCTTATTTTAATAGTATTTCTGCATTATCTATTTCACATTTAGTCAGTCTTACATGCAGTACTTTTCAGTATTTATAAGATGCGTTAAAATGCTGTTTCTATGCAGGAAATACCAGGTAGAGCAGTTGTTTGTTAGCGGAGCTCAGTTGTAGCTATGAGACGAGAAACGTGACGTTTCGTGTTTAGTCGAACCCCTGCTGTTTGACCATTTTAGCCCTGAAGCACACATTGATTAGGTTCTTTTGTAACTCTAAATTGTTGTGTGAACGGTTGTTTGTCTCTGTGTGTGTCCCTGTGATGGACTGAAGATCTGTCCAGGGTGTCCCCCACCCAGGGGCGCCCCCAGTTTTATCCTCTTGAATACCTAGGTTTTTCCTTTTTCAACTTCCCAAGCTACTTAGGAATAGAACCACATAAATGTAAAAACAAACGCTGATTTTATTTAACAATTAAGAGTTAAAAACATTAATTTATATTTGGTTTAAAATAAAGAATAACAAAATAATAAAAATCTAGTTCCTCTGAATCAGGACAACCAGTCTAAAACCAATGTTCTCAATTAAAGATGGAAGTTCTCAGGAGGTTCTATTCATAGAAATATATTTAATTAATATTAATTAAATTAATTATATAACTTATTTAAAATTAGGCAGTACAGTGGCACAGTTGGTAGAGCAACATATTGSCTCTAATAAAGAAGGTTGCTAAATCAATTTTCTGGGTTGTGTTTACATGTTCTCTCTGTGCATGAATGGGTTTTCTCCAGGTACTTTAGTTTCTTCTTACAGACCAAAATCATATTTACTAAAACTAATATGTCATGAAAAAATTAATAAATGAATAGTTTGGGATAATGCTACAGTAGATGTTGTATAGAACTGTATATAGTATATAGTCTTTATTTCCAGTTTTGAGTATTTATGATTAGTTTACAAAGTAAACATCAACAAGCAAACAAAACTGTTTTAACAAACAAAGATGAGGCTTTAAAATTGGGAAAGTTTGTTYATTTTAAATGTTTTTAAAATGCATATTTTGACTCTTTTTAAATAAAATGACAGACATCACTGCAATCATTTGTGAAGGGAAGTTTCCCCATCACATTTAAATGTTAAGTCATCTGAACCCCCACATCTACAATAAAAAATGAGTTCGCCCAGTGTTGTTTCTATTACTGAATCAACAAATTAATTCCTCTTAATTTATAGAATAGTACACTAAGTATTTTCTTATGTAGGTAAAAGTCTGTTTAACAACCTGCTAAAATACTCCAGAATGCAGGAAAATTGATTCAAAATTTTCTGAGGGAGGACCCCCAGACTCCCCTACCAGTGTGCCAGGTCTTCCAGTGTCTGTTATGGATATTAGTTTTGATGTGCCACCCCTGGTTTTTCAGTGGTCTCCCCGTGGCCCCCCCTGAAAAAAATCACACTAGCTGCGTTTCCATTAACCACAAAAATGCGCAAATTAGAATTTTGAAAATAAATTTGCTCAACGGAAACACGTCAATTGCGAAAAAAAACCTCCTTTTTTCGACAAATTGTTTTTGCGCTAGGATGAGGTGGTATTTCGGCCGTATCAAAATTGGTGTTTTTCACAAAACTGCAATGGAAACACTTTTTTCGCATCACGGGAGTCACGTGACCAACTACTGGTGAAAAAGACGACGACGAAGAAGACAACAGGAAGTAGAAGCAGTAGTAAACTCACCGACTACAATTTCCCAAAAACACAGCACACGTAGCCGCTCCCAAGTATAAGGGACTTGTCGCTCAAAAGCCTCGATAAAAGACGCCGACGTCTCCTCTGATGATGAGCRCTAGTGTCGCGATAGCAATTATGCTATGTGTTTACATCCATCGCCGCCATGTTTGTAATGACTTATCACAAGAACAAACGTATTCACGCGTGACTTTAATAGCATTTCTTTCTTAATGGAAACACCGCAATTGCGAAACTGTGTTTTTCAACATTAACAGAATATCGACAAAGTTTTGCGCACATTTGCAGTGGAAATGCAGCTACAGTGACTCCTGGTCGTGATAAAATTTGGAATTCCGAAACATAAAATTGATTAAAACAAAAATTTAAACAATAAAACTGATTATATTGATTCATGCTGAGTCAGCAAGAATATCTTGGTTGTGTGTTGCTCCTCTGTTAGCGGATCCAGATGTTTGACTCTGGCACTTTAATGTCCAGTTTTCACTCCTGACATTCGACCCGAACAGACCCGGCCTTACCTCCCCTTTCTCGTTCCTGATTCGCCGGTTAAACTCTTTGCCCTCCAGGCAGATGAAGTCGTCTCCGGGGTGAATGATGCCGCACTTGGCGGCTATGGCCCTGGCCGTGTTTATGTTGTCACCAGTTACCATTCGCACTGTGATGCCGGCGCGCTGACACTTCCGGATGGCCTCGGGCACCTGGGAAAGGTCAAAGGAATTTGTCCACACAGAGACAGAACGTCAGGTCCAATTAAAACGCACGCTAAATGACGCGTGCACGAACTCCGACCTCGGGTCGCACGGGGTCCTCTATCCCCACCACGGTGATGCAGGTCAGCTCCGTCACGATTTCGGCCTCGTTGTCCCACTCTGGCTCTGGATTTGGCGCCAGGTCGCGATAAGCAATGCAGATGGTCCTCAACCCCTCGCACGCCATCGGCTCAATCACCTGATAATCAGTAAATATTACAAACACGATCAAACCGCAGACTTCTTGGCACAAGACACATCACTTCCATCCTCGTTTCTGAAGCCTAAATATGGTTGGAGGTGTATTTTTGATGGATACAGTGTGACGCAGCTGCAGGGAAAGACCCCCGGCCTGCTGCAGACGGCGCAACGTGATACAAAACGGAGGTGACATAAAGCTGCCACAACGCAAACCGAACTACTGAGCTGGAATCAAGTTGTGGAAGGAGCAGTTATTTTTCTCACGGCACAAGCTGTGTTCATCACGAGCCAAATTTAGATCCGTCAGTCAATTACACGGACTGCACGCTCCGAGAAAACACACAAACACGTGTGGYTTCCTGCCAAACGCTCGTCAGTTCGGCAGAGCTGGTGCAGCGAAGCCTTCCATAGATTCAGCAGGTTTTGAAATGCTGATGATGAGGTGTTTAAATGTGGAAAATGTTTTTGGTTATTTTCTGGTGGATTTTTGAAGCAAGAATGCTGAGTCAGCAAGAGTTTTTGCGAGAAAAAAAAACTTACTAATTTAAGCAGAAACGTGCGAAAGTTGTCGTTATCTTGACAGTTTGGGGATCTAACAACTTTATCTGCAGCTTTAAATGACCTGACAGCTTTTTGCTGTTTTATCTTTATTTATTTTTTGTTTTAATTTATCTTTGGAGCATAAAATGTCACCGCTCATGACTAAAATCGCTGCACATGAAAGAACAATAATTACACAGGAGAGGAAGTGGAAAATGTTCAAATTAGATCAGATGGACTGAAATAAAATAAAATCTAAGCTAAATCAAGTTTTCAGATCGTGGTTTCGTTTTCTGGCACCGAGACATGTTCATCACACAACTACCTGCCTCAGAATCCCACCAGCCTCACCTGTTTGACCATCTCGTCTCGGTCACGYGGGCGGAAACTTCGTGCTTCTCCGTTGGCGTCTAAAACGTAGGAACACCTAAAATAAAATAAAAAAAAAACAAAGAGGACGTTAACTTTTACCTCGTCGTTGTTCGTCGCCTCTAAACGTGAGCTGGTTTTGACTAACGTGTCCCCGCAGCACCGTCACTCACTTCTTCAGCATGATCTCAGAGGCTCCTTTGCTGTAGAGGCGGAACGTCCCGTCAGGCAGTTTGATCACCGTGCTCATGGATTTACGCACAGAGTTGAACGTGTACACCTGAAAGACAAAACAAAGATTTGTTACTTTAAAAACCTCCAAATGAGAGGATGATGGCTGCTTGAAGGGAAAATACAAAAAAAAAAAAACGAGGCATGACACAAGACTTTTTAGCACTTCTGACCGTGACAGAAACGATTCTATGATGACAGGATGTGTTAATATGAGTGCATGGATTTAAAATTTTAATTGAGATTAATCCCAAGATATTTTTGTGATTAATAGCGATTAACCTCACGATATATTTGCCATTAATCTTGATCAATCTCAAGATATTTTTGCAATTAATTGTAATTAATCTTAAGATACTTCTGCGATTTTTCTTGATTAATCCCAAAATATTTTTACAATTAATCACAATTATCCTCAAGATATATTTGCCATTAATCTCGATTAATCTCAAGGCATTTTTGCAATTAATCGCAATTAATCAAGATATTTTTGCGATTAAACTCGATTAATCTTTTGCGATTAATTGCAATTAATTTTAAAGATACTTTTGCAATCTGTCATGATTAATCCCAAGATATTTTTGCGATTAATTGCAATTAAACTCAAGATATTTTTTGCAATTATCTGCGATTAAACTCAAGATATATTTGCCATTAATCTCGATTAATCTCAAGACATTTTTGCAATTAATCGTAATTAATCAAGATATTTTTGCAATTTTTCTGGATTAATCCCATTATATTTTTGCGTTTAATCTCGATTAATCTCAAGGTATTTTTGCAATTAATTGCAATTAATTTCAAGATACTTTTGTAATTTTTCTTGATTAATCCCAAGATATTTTTGCGATTAATCGCAATTAATCAAGATATTTTTGCAATTAATCTCGATTACTCTCAAGATACTTTTGAAAGTTTTCTTGATTGACCTCAAGATATTTATGAGATTAATCTCTATTATTCCCAAGACATTTTTGCGATTAATCGATAATAATCTTGAATTATTTTTTTAGAACCGATTGCTGTGGCTGAATGCGAACGTTTGCATGTTTTATTTTGTCTTTTCCTTCTTATTTTCTGATTTCTAATTGTGTGTTTTTTATTTATTGCTAAAAACTGGGACCTTAGCATCTGTCTTTTGTTCATCATGGACTCAATTGGAATGACAATAAAAACTCATTATTATGCACAAAATTTTATTAAGATTCAAAGATGTTTGAMGCCTTTGTAGGTACTGTTTTATATTAAAAAATAGGTTCAATGCATTTTTAAGAACTTGAAACAAATAAGGCAAACCTGTCTTAGTTTGTCTTTTTTTCTTCCATACACGGATCAGTCTTTTCTGCAGAACCCTCTTCTGTTTGTTATGTTGGTTTTAAATTGAAGCAATATTTCAGGATCGAACTACTCTGGTGGTGAGACAGTTCAATGTTGCAGCGCTTAGAGGACCTGTTACACTATAATGTTTTAGACAACTTATGTCGACTTGTGAAAATTTTGTTATGACTATTTTACTCATGTCGGCCATATTTTCGATGTAATTGTTAGCATTACAGTATGTATTGGTCCAAAAGAGGCTTCCATTAGATTTTCTTTTAATTCCCTCTTCAGCATAGACATCTTTAATGTTGGACATAAGCTCGTCTAAGTTGTTTAAAACGTAACAGTGTGAAAATAAATCTTTGTTTTCAGCCCGCCATCAGGAAGACTGTTAAAATAAAAATGCCACAAAGAATCTGGTGACTTCCGCCATGTTTCTGTCCCAGCTGCACATTGCCACACAACAGCTTGACAACAAAGGCTCTCATTGGTTGAGACGCGTTTTGWTGATCTTTATTTATTGTATAAATATCTAAAATCAGCTGAAGGTGGATGTGGTGCCTGATTTCTTACCTTGTACAGTTTCTCCTCCGGGACCTGCTCTCTGACAGGGGCGTAGTCCCGCTGAAGGTCCAACACGAACCCCAGCAGGCCGCATTCGGTTTTGTTGCCCACCTGCTTGGCAAGACCGCCCTCCACGTCAGGCGGCTGTCGGAGAACGTGTTTGATTTTAACATTTGGATTTTAGAGAACGCGGGCAGAGGATTACAAAATGAGTAAAAAGAACAGGAAGTAATTTTCTTCTCTGTGACTCACTAAGATTTTGGAGGTGTAGGCGCTGTTGATGGCGATGGCGTTGACTAATAGATCCAGAGTGCGAGGGTTGATCTGTCCGGGGTCTGGGATCAGGCGGTGGTGCACGTCACCTRCAAAGAAACAATCCCATGTTACCACCTTCAGCAGTAAATTCTGTAAACATGGTGGCTGAATGCATTTCACTCATCTTAAACCTAAATTATATTCTGATTCCTGCAGATTAATCAGAATAATTAAGTATGGAGTTCACGGATGATTATAACTTTTTACCGATGTAGGTCTGCACCACAGTCATGCGGTTGGTGGTGAGCGTGCCGGTCTTGTCGGAGCAGATGGCCGTGGCATTGCCCATCGTCTCACATGCGTCCAGATGTCGAACCAGGTTGTTGTCCTTCATCATTTTCTGCGAAATGAGGAAGAGCAGAGAACATATGAAGGGTGGACGGCTCCGTGATGATGGATGGATGAGTAAAGAAATGTGGATAAATGAGGACAAAAAAGCTGGCGGGATAAATCCTGATGCCTTTCAAATGATGTCATTGTAGGGGTCACCTCGAGTGAAGAAACAAGATTTACTGCCTCGAAGCAGGCCTCAGACAGGCCTGACGACAGGACAGGAACTCTG